CCCCCATCTCGGCCTGCTGCGTGGGATGAGTCGGGTTTTTGTTGTGAAAATTTGGCAGCTATGCATGCACTTCATGTTTCTAATTGAAACTACGGTAATAATGATTTACATATTATGTACTGTTATGCCCTGCTTTATTTTGGTAGTCGATATTTTATCCTTTTCTTCTACATACATGAACGTATGTTCAGAAAATGTAAGCACATGTTGGTGTGTTATAAAAACTTATAATGTGTTTTGTTTTCTATGAAGAGCTCATTTGTGAGGCAGTGTGGTGGAATCAGGCTCTCGTCAAAATAATCAAAGTGAGGAAAAGCGCATTTTTCCGTAGGTTTGTGAATTTTTATCAAATTTTTATTTTTTGGCCCAACATCTTTCATGCCCATTAAAGAACTCACTAATGAGTGGATTTTTCTTATAAACGTTAATTAAAGGCACAAAAATGTAAATGTTCAGTTACCATGGACTCTTAAACTAAGGAAATAACTGATCTTTGGCGGCCATTTTCTCACTAATTTTACTTCTGAAAACAGGTGACTCCCACCTCCTTCTTTCGCAAATATCTTGACCTGTATTCAAGATAAATGTACCTTTTTTCCATCCAACTAAAGACAGGTGAACAAGCTTTAAGATGATACCAATAACTCCACATGCCCAAAAATTGACGAGAGCCTGATTCCACTACGCTGCCTCACATTTTGGTGCTTTACGTTTTGCTTCTGTGGGGTTGAATAAAAAGTTTTCTTTCACCGATGGTTTCTTTCTTTTTTTTTTTCGTGCTTTGTATTCTTTTTCAATGTTGACCTGCGAATTCAAATGAGTTTCAATGTCAATGTCCTATCCCTGTCAACAAATTTGTTTAACTGCTGTTCTTTTTTTAAACAGAGACCTTGAAATAGATTTAGTGTCTATCTCCATCAAAAGAACGGTGACAATGTCAGTGTTTAACCCTATCCGTACACCCTGTGGTCATTTTGTACCCCGGGGTTGTATTCTTCACATTTTTAGAATACTTCTTGTACGAAGATCTCTTTAAAACTTTCAGTATTTCACAAAATATCATTTCGACAGACTGCTATGCAAAGCGTACGGATCGGATTAACGAGTAAACTTCCTCTTTTGAAAGTGGTGGCACGGAGTTCCCACGCCCCATGGATACGATAGCAAAACACGACGTACGGATAGAGTTAAATGGTCAGATAGATCTGGTGAATTGTTTTTAAAAGAGTGTATTTTATTATGATGATGTTTTCAACAGAAAAAGTGATTAATCCATGTATGTATAGCTACAAACCTACTGAGCCATTCAATTGTGTTTTCTCATTACGGCTTCACCTGTTCCTGACACTGTTGATAGCATTTTTTCTTTCAAAATAAAGCATAATCTCTATTAATTTATAGAAACAGAATGTTATACCAGTGGAAGGGAGGAAGGCTCCTTCCACAGTCCCACCTTGTAAATGGCCATTTACAGTTATGAAAATGACGTTAACTTAATTAAGCCCACAGAAATAGCGACTGACTGACGGGTGCTCTGATGTGGTTTACTCCATATTTTCAATCACAAAACATTTTTCTATCGTACTTATCTCTCTGCCTTCTTTTTTGTGTTTGTTAATCTCTCGTAACATCTGTAATCTCCCGCACCTGATTATGTATATATATATATATATATATATATATATATATATATATATATATATATATATATATATATATATATATATATATATATATATATCTGTCTACATAATAATGATAAAAATAATAATAACAATAATAATGATAATAATAATAATAATGATAATAATAATAATAATGATGATGATGATAATAATAATAATAATAATAATAATAATAATAATAATAATAATAATAATAATAATAATAATAATAATAATAATAATAATATCCTCATTGAAATAGACATGCGTCGCTTAAGAGAATCGAAAGAAGTCATGTGAACTTTCCAGTTGTTACTTGTTACGATAGCCGATTACACAAGAGCATCGCTCTGGTGTGAGTGGAAAACGAGATGATAAAAGGAGAGAGGCGTTAAATTGATAGTGAAGCTTGTTTTCTTAACTCTTAGTTTAGAAGTTAGTACATCTCTATAATGAGCAGATGCTGCAGTGTTGTTGTTTTTTTTCCACAATTGCCATAAATATCTGCTTGCCTGTACCACAAAATGTATCAATCATTATCAGAGCCCCAGTCTTTAGTGAACATAATATTGGCTTCGGTAATACAAGCCTGTAGCTTGAAACCTGTCTTTTTAATGATAAGAATGCTAATACTAACATGTTAATAGATATAAGCACATATTTAAACTAAACTTGCTGAAGGGGCTCTGGTGGTTTAAGGGTACCGTGTTCGCCGCTCATTCAATGCAATAGGTTCCTGGTTCAAAACCTGACAGCGACGGAAAATGTTCTTCTTCCGTCTCCTCCTTACCTGCTCTCTAATCAAGTTCTGTCTTCTACTTATCTCTCCACTTTCTGCCCCCCCTCCCCTTTTCCCCTGGGCTCCTGACTCTTTCTACTTGTACTGCTACTCCTGATCCTAGAGTAGGTAAGATCTAACACTTAGCCTTCTCGGACAAAGGCGAAAAAAATTTGGAGGTCCCGTGTGCAAGTTGCGCACTTTGAAGATCCCTTGGTGGTCCTAAATCGATAAGTGTAGGCTTCGGCTGCCACCAAGGCAAAACTCAAAATTAATTCCAGCCAAACTGAAAATGCTTCACGTGTCCCGCGCGCTCATATGACCATGTCCATATGAAGCAGTCATTTATTTAAAAAAAAACAAAAAAACAAAAACAACAAACTTGCAGAAACAAAACATGGAAGAATTTAAATGATTGGCTACTTTTTTCCCAATGGTAGGGTTTCTTTGTAAGGGTGATTGGCCTTCCGACCGGTTCAAAAAGTGAGTTATGAAATCTTTACAAGGAGGAATAAAAAGAAATAGTGTCAAAGACAAAGGAAATAAAAACATTGTAATGGGACGTTCTCTTTTCTAAGTGCATATGTGTCTGTGGGTGGGGGTGTAGATAGGTGAGTGAATACATGTGTGTGTGTGTGGGGGG